AATGAGCAAACAATTTTCTTCAACACCACACTTAAAAAGGGATACTGCCTTCAGAAACTGTTTTGGCTGTATATGTTATGAATATATTGAGCAAATTGTGAATATTACTGATCCATCCTCATTCATGACTTGAACCTCCTCGAAGTTTGAATTGTTTTCTGTTATAGCTGGTATGTCAATATTTGATGTTATTATTATTTCTTTCTGATCAGCCCTGTGGACTGGGGAAAATTGCAAAGCTAATCAATGCTGGGAAGATTGATTCCTCTGAATTGATTACCATGAAGACATTAAAGGTACATAGAATTATTTCTTGAACAATACTGTGCTTTTGTTTAATGACATCAACATCTGTATTCCACTTTGGCAGGAAACAGGTGCCATTGGGAAGCAAATAAAGGATGGAATTCGTTTAATGGGTCGTGGAGCAGAAGAAATCAAATGGCCTATTCACCTTGAGGTAAACATGATCTCCATTCAAAAAAGTATTTCTACTAAAAGCAAGTGTGGAATTCACCCTATAGGCCCTGTTTGGAGATAAAGTATTTTTTGGAGTATCGGATAAATACTATGGTTTTGCAAAATAGGAGCACTTTGGTTTTCAAAAGCTGCTCGGTTTTTCGTTACAACAAGCCTTGTAGTTTCTAAAACCATGGTTTTGTCAAAACAGTAGTTTTTTTTTTGGAGTTCTAGAAACAACTCTCTTGACCTCTTTTTTCTAAACCATGGTTGGATTACAAAACCACAGTTTCATGACGCCACAGTTTTCTAAAACTACGTCATCCAAACAGGCCTAGTTCTTATTTCCTTGCAATCCATCTTGTCAGGAGTAATATGCTTGTCTTCTATGTTCATAAAACGAACTTCTGGCTCTTACAATAACAACAAAAACAACAAAGCTTTTAAGTCCCAAACAAGTTGGGGTAGGCTAGAGTTGAAACCCATCAGAAGCAATCAAGGTTCAGGCACGTGAATAGTTGTTTTTCAAGCACTCCTATCTAAGGCTAAGTCTTTGGGTATATTCCATCCTTTCAAGTCTCCTTTTATTGCCTCTACCCAAGTCAACTTCGGTCTTCCTCTGCCTCTCTTCACATTACTATCCTGGCTTAGGATTCCACTATGCACCGGTGCCTCTAGGGGTCTCCGTTGCACATGTCCAAACCATCTCAACCGGTGTTGGACAAGCTTTTCTTCAATTGGCGCTACCCCTAATCTATCACGTATATCACCGTTCCGAACTCGATCCCTTCTTGTATGACCGCAAATCCAACGCAACATACGCATTTCCGCGACACTTAGCTGTTGAACATGTCGTCTTTTCGTAGGCCAACATTCTGCACCATACAACATAGCAGGTCTAATCGCCGTCCTATAAAACTTGTCTTTTAGCTTCTGTGGTACCCTTTTGTCATATAGGACACCAGACGCTTGCCGCCACTTCATCCACCCTGCTTTGATTCTATGGCTAACATCTTCATCAATGTCCCCGTCCCTCTGTAGCATTGATCCTAAATATCGAAAGGTATCCTTCCTAGGCACTACTTGACCTTCCAAACTAACATCTTCCTCCTCCCGAGTAGTAGTGCCGAAGTCACATCTCATATACTCAGTTTTAGTTCTGCTGAGTCTAAAACCTTTGGACTCCAAAGTCTCCCGCCATAACTCCAGTTTCTGATTCACTCATGTCCGGCTTTCATCAACTAGCACTACATCGTCCGCGAAAAGCATACACCAAGGGATGTCCCCTTATATGTCCCTTGTGACCTCATCCATCACTAAAGCAAACAAATAAGGGCTCAAAGCTGACCCTTGATGTAGTCCTATCCTAATCGGGAAGTCATCCGTGTCTCCATCACTTGTTCGAACTCTAGTCACAACATTGTTGTACATGTCCTTAATGAGCCCGACGTACTTCGTTGGGACTTTATGTTTGTCCAAAGCCCACCACGTAACATTCCTTGGTATTTTATCATAAGCCTTCTCCAAACATTATGTTGGCTCTTGCCTAGAAAAATTATGTTCTGCTTCTTGGTTCATGTGATGATTGAAGCTTCAAACATGCAACTGGACATCTACTAAAAAAACGAATTTGTTTTTTTGTTAAACTTATATCTTCACATCACCACATGATCTATTATCCTGTCCATAATCTGTAATCATGCTGAGTGCAGATAATAGCTTTGTTTCAAGAAGGTGATTTTGGAATTCAATTTCCTTGCAATCCATATGCGGCAGCACAAACTTAATGAATAGACATGAACATTTGAGTACTGATTGGTCTCTTGGTAGAGATGATTAGGTAGTTTAGCTTATGAATATTTGTTATCTTTACCTATCATTATCATTTGGTATGAGCCCAGCTATCAACTAATACGAAATGATCTTGAATTGGAAGATGTAGGCAACTGAAAAGGCAAAATGATGAATCTTCATTCAGTAGTCTTCTGATACCATTTGTGGTTGCTTTCATCATTTCGCAAGTTGAGATATCCATTCTCAAACAGAAGATGCACTGAATATTGTAGGTGTCAAGGGCAACAGCAAGGGCCAAAGCTGCCGTGGAAGCTGCTGGTGGGACAGTAAGGCTGGTGTATTACAACAAACTTGGATTCCGGGCGCTCTTGAAACCCGAGTGGTTTGAGAAGAAGGGCCGCCTGTTACCAAAAGCAGCAAGGCCTCCGCCCAAGCAGCGAGATAAGGTTGATAGCATTGGCCGCCTGCCTGCACCGACAAAGCCACTCCGGTTCACTCCAGAGGAGCTGGAATTTGCAGCCAAGCGCGATGCTGCCCGTGTGAGTGTGACCGCATAAGATGGGAGCATGTTGGCAGCACCTTTTTTTTCCCTGTTCTACACAAGAAAGAAAGCATGCCCAACTGAATGTGCATTACATTAGCTTTAACAGGGCATGTATAAGAATGGACTGTTATATCTTTCTTTTCTCGCAAGGAATGGACTGTTATAAATTGAAGATCCATTCCTTGGAATGAGGCGTGGCTGTAGTTTCTGAGCTTACCGGGTTCGGATTGACGAATGCCGTTTTTTTGAAGGCTCATGTATGGTGTTATTTTACTTACCATCTTTTGATCCTGGATTGACAGTTAAGGAATGCTGTTTTTTCTGAAATAGGCTCATGTATGTTGTCTTACTGCCCACCTTGTTATCTGTATTTCTCGTTCCAGGATTTGTATCACTTGTTTACCATGGGACGAGCAACAAGTGGGCACCTCCCATGGGCCAAGTTTCCTTAACTATTTACCTTGTGACGAGCAAGAATGAATTCAAGTGGCGGACCTGTTAAACCATGAATCACTAAACAGATGAACAAAAGGCAGAGCTTTTTAAATATGATTCATTTTTTTTGGTTTATTCATCTGTGCGGGTAGAGTGCTGCTGATCACAAATTTACATGTGGTCTGACCATGCCATCTATAACTGGCAGTAGTCATGAGTTGGCCGCTTACCGACTCAAAACACTACTAGATGAGACTGCATTCATAGCCAAGCATGCGTCTTTTTCACGAGGCGTGTTGTCTAAATGATACTACAAGTATATAGGAAAGCATCTCGATCTGTTACCGTGTATCGGTGTATGTATGCGATGAACACATGCAGATGCAGCGTTGTTGATTTATCACCTCGGACTGACACTCTGACAGTGAGAAATGAAGAGGCAATCACCTGCTAGCTTGAACCTGGCAAACTAGGATTGGCTGCAGCATGTGCTTTAGACAAACTGCTGACAAGCATTAATCAACTCTTGATTAAAAAGCATAAATATTCAATGATGCATATTCTACTACTCCCGTTTCGAAGAGCAGCCTGAAGACAAATTTTGTTGCAAAGCCGAAGCCAATGTACTACAAAGCAGAGCCTTGCATGCATCGCTGGCGAGAGGAGCAGTGCCGGAGGAATCATTGATCGTGGCTTCTCCTGACTCCTAATTCATTTTGGCAAGAGAAAAACGGTTTTTATGAATAGTACTGCTACAGCGCGCTGCGGAGGAGCAGCCGGAGCCACAAGAACGGAGGAGAAGCCAGAGCCACAAGAAGCTCTGCCAGACTGCTAAACACACCCTAAGTGTGCTTAAAAGAGATATCACAGCCAATAATATGAGGCAGATGCTGTTCATGGGGCTTGCTGTTGGCATTTGCAGATTTCTTTATGTTTTCACTGGACTCCCCCTGTTTTGTTTTGATCTGCTTTTGCTGCATCCACTCAGACCCCGGAGTGTGGCACATACGAACTTGGGATGATCACTATAGCGCTATAAAATACTGAGTTTAGCCATGGCTGCTTTCAGTTAAGAGAGTTCAACCGTCAAAAAAAGATAAGCACTACCGTGTTCCTTCGACTGTTTCCCGTTTCAGTGCCAATTTGTCAGCACCCGTACCACTACATCAGCAACCCAGGAGGATAACGGAAACGGCGATGGCCAGCCTAACGTTCATGGCGACATTCAAGCCGAGCATGGGCCGCGTCGAGGAGGGCGTGACCGCAGGCCCCACATACGAGTCCATGGGCCGGAGTGGAAGTGACCGACCATCACCTGGCGAGAGTGCCGTGTCATCTCAGTATATGTAATCGGAGAGAGAGGGGGAGGATAACAATGATGATGAACAACTTGTAAAAGAAGCACTCCGCTGCTATTCGATTCAGAAGTCAACCTTCCCCAATTATGTGCTTGTTCTTCCTCTTATTCTTACCGGATTGATTGCCCATCCCCTACTCCTACCACTCTGCTTACATCTGGTATCAGCTTCCTTCGATTCCTCCTTCGATTTCTTCCGCCATCCTCTGTCCTATCTTCGATTCGTCGATAGCTTACAAATGCCTTGGGTCGTAGAGATCGAATCGATTCCCCTCGATCCCAATTTCCGTAATTCCCAGGCACGTGAGCAATCTGTTTCGATTACCGGCGCTGGATCATCAGCTGCTGCCGCAGCCACCGCCACCACCCCCGCATCCTCACTACACGTGCTTCACTCATAGTCGCGGCGCCATGAACCCAAACTCCAAGCTCCTATTGGACGAGGTGCATTGTCTCTTCAACGAGCAGAAGACCCAGATCGAGGACCGATTAGCTGAGGCGGATCGGAAGCTGGACTCGCGCTTCATCGATAGCAGCCGCCTCCTGGAGAAGCGGTTTGCCGACATCGACGAATCCATCACCAAGCGCCTCGCCGACGTCGACGACTCCCTCAACAAACGCCTAACCGAGGTCGACGACTCCCTCAACAAGCACCTCGCTGACTTCGACCTCTCCTGGGAACGCCGCATCACCAACTCCTAGCTGCGCTAGAACAACCTCATCGCCGAAGCTGAACGGCGTCAGGACGACCGCGTCTCCGGCGTCATGAAGGTCGCGAGCGCCCTGGAGAGCTGGAGCCAGGACTCCGAAGGTGCTATGGATGATCTCAAGCTGAAGGTGCACAAACTCACAAAATATTTAGTTCGATCATTCCTCGACAACGCTACGGCGTCGACAGGGTTGATCTCCCAACCACCTTCGGCGTTGGAGTAGACCACCGCGCGTTCATCTGCGGATCTCATGGCTACTCGGCCCAGCGAGCACCACGTCGAAACGACTCCACGAGCGGATGGTATTGGGGAGAATTCTTCCCAATCCCATTCCCCGACCAATGGTATGCATTCCGAGCCCAACCCTGAGGTTTCGCTGTTTCATGGAGAAGCTTATGATGTTCATACTCGTAACCATCCCCATGATCCTAACCCACCCAATCTCGGCAAACTACCCAAGCAAAAGTTTCCCATCTATGAGGGGGAGACTACTTGTCTATGGATATCTCAGGCCGAGGATTACTTCAACATGTATGAAGTACCTCCGTTCCAGTGGGTCAAAATTTCTCGCATGAACTTTTGTGGAGCAGCCGGTCGCTGGATCGAGTCCATTCCCCAACCAAATCGCCTACCCTGGCCTGATTTTTGCAAAATGCTCCACAATCGCTTTGGCCGTGATCAGCGTGACAAGCTTGTGCGCCAAATGTTCCATATAAACCAAATTTCCACTGTCACTGACTATGTCGATCGCTTTTCATCCCTCTTTGATCAGCTTAAAGCCTATCAACCCAATCCTGACATGCATTACTTCACCACTCATTTCGTGGATGGGTTACGGGATGATATCAGGATGGTTGTTACATTGCAGCGTCCTTCTACTCTCGATACTGCGTACTCGTTGGCTCTATTGCAGGAGGAAGTGGCGGCTTCGACTCCGAAGACTGACACCACCAGGATGGGGTTCAGACCACAGCACAAACTAGCGCTAGCACAGCCACGGCTGCCTGGTGCTAACAAGGTGATGGGCGACAAGGCTCCTGCCAAGGGCCAAGATGACAAGCTTTCAACACTTCGGGCCTACCGCCGTGCCCGGGGTCTCTATGAAGTTTGCGCCGAGAAATCGGTGAGAGGACACAAATGTGTTGCTACTGTTTCACCGCAAGCAATGCAAGAAGCTTGGGATTTCTTCAATATTGAGTCAGCCTCTGAAGATACTGATGAACCTGATGAACAGTTACTTCTGGCCCTGTCATACGATGCTCGCATGGGATCCCACGGCCAATGCACTATTCGGTTTTATGGCACTGTTCATGGGCTTTCTGTTGTCATGTTAATTGATTCTGGGAGTTCTTCATCATTTCTGGCTGCTTCCATTGCTGATCAGTTGCCTCAGCTGGCTCGGGTTCCTATGGAAGCTTCAGCAAAAATTGCTAATGGACAGATTTTGAGCTGCACATCTGCTATTCTTGACTGTCAGTTTTCTTTGTAGGGTCACCCATTCCAGCATGATTTAAAGATTCTTCAGTTGGACTCTTACGACCTAATTCTGGGTATGGACTGGCTCGAGCGATACAGCCCAATGAAAATTCACTAGAAGGCTAAATGGATCTCTATACCTTGTGATGGTACTCAGTTGGTGCTTCATGGGCTTTCCGCCACATCTACAGCTGACATGGTTTTCCAATTGCTTTCAGTTGAGATGCAGTCCAATTCAGCTCAGTCAGATGTGCTTCCATCAGACATTCAGCATATTCTGGATGCTTTTTCATAAGTATTCACGGTGCCTGACATCTTACCACCCAAGCACGCATGTGACCATGCTATACCGCTAATTAGTGGTGCTACACCTGTCAATATTCGAGACTATCGATACCCACCCCAACTGAAGGATGAAATTGACACACAAGTTCAAAGTATGCTAGCTCAAGGCTTAATCCAACCCAACTCTTCACCGTTTTCTTCACCCGTGCTACTTGTCAGGAAGAAGGACGGTTCATGGCGCTTCTGTGTTGACTATCGTTACTTGAATGCCTTGATAGTCAAGTCTGTGTACCCAATCCCAGTGATTGATCAGTTAGTGGATGAGCTTGGACACGCTAAGTGGTTTTCAATCTTGGACTTATACTCTGGTTACCACAAGATATGATTGCAAACAGGTGAAGAACATAAGACTGCCTTCTCGACACATGCAGGGCATTATGAGTTTACTGTGGTTCCCTTTGGACTCTCTGGTGCACCGGGAACTTTCCAAGGCGCCATGAATGTCACTCTCAGCCCTTTACTACGCAAGTGCGTCATTGTATTTTTTGATGACATTTTGGTGTACAGCTCTTCCTATGAGGAACATTTACAACACTTACAACAAGTGCTAGATCTCCTCGCCAAAGACCACTGGGTTGTCAAGCTCAAGAAGTGCCAATTTGCCAAACAAGAGATACACTATTTGGGCCATGTTTTAAGTGGTGGCGGCATTCATACCGACCCTGCCAAGGTTACAGCGGTTCAAGAGTGGCCGCAGCCAGCCAACGTTCATGAGCTACGTGGGTTCCTGGGTCTCGTCGGCTTCTATAGAAAGTTTGTCCGCAATTTTGCAGTTATAGCGAAGCCGCTCACTAACTTCCTCAAGAAACACACCTTGTTTGTGTGGACCTCTGAACACCAATTGGCTTTTGATACTCTCAAGCAAGCTCTTTGTTCGGCACCGGTTCTGGGGATTCCAGACTTCTCACAAGTCTTTGCCATTGAGACTGACACCGTCGTCAGTGTAGGGGCAGTGTTGTTGCAAAATGGCCACCCACTCGCTTATGTTACCAAGCCATTGGGCGCCAAGAATCAAGGACTTTCAACATATGAAAAAGAATATCTAGCCATCTTGATAGCAGTGGATCAGTGGCGCTCTTACCTACAGTTGGCCGAGTTTGTCATCTACACTGATCAGAAAGCATTGACTCACCTCAATGATCAGCGATTGCATACAGTTTGGCAGCAGCGGGTATTCGCCAAGTTATTGGGGCTGCAGTACCGCATCATCTATAAAAAGGGTTGTGATAATAGTGCCGCTGATTCTTTGTCTCGCAGGGCACATCCTGAGAAAACCAGCTGTGCCATTTCTGTGATTACACTACAATGGTTGGATGAAATCATCTCCGGGTATCAGCAAGATTCCCATGCAACTGCCTTGCTTGCTAAATTAACCACAAGTCCTGATGCCGTACCCAATTTCACCATTGACAAGGAGCTACTTAAGTTCAAGCAACGCATATGGGTCGGCAACAACCCTATCTTGCAGTAGAAATTGATTCAAGCACTGCACAGTTCGCTAGTGGGGGGACATTTAGGCGCACCAGCAACCATCAAACGCATCTAGTCGCTTTTTGCTTGTCCCGGCATGACGAAACTTATTACTGCCTTTGTCCAGAGCTGCCCAACATGTCAGCAAGCCAAACCAGAACGAGTCAAATATCCAAGGCTGTTACAGCCACTGGCAACTCCTTCGGCTGCATGGCAGGTTATATCCTTTGACTTTGTTGAGGGTTTACCAATTTCTCATGGATTCAACTGCATTTTAGTAGTGGTTGACCTCTTCTCCAAGTACAGTCATTTTGTCGCTTTGAAGCATCCATTCAGTGCACTATCTGTTGCTAAGATATTCATGCAGCGCATATATCGTCTCCATGGACTTCCAACAGCCTTAGTGTCAGATCGTGATCGAATCTTCACTAGCCAGCTTTGGCGTGAGTTGTTCCATTTGGCAGGAGTCGACCTTCATCTTAGTTCTGCATATCATCCGCAGTCTGACTGACAAACGAAACGAGTGAACCAATGCATGGAAACCTTCCTCCGTTGTTTTGCTAATGCTGCTCCGAGCAAGTGGTTTGATTGGCTCCATCTTGAAGAATATTGGTATAATACAACTTGGCATTCGGCAATTAAAAGATCTCCATTTGAAGCCTTGTATGGTCAGTGTCCCAGGCAGCTCGGTATTGATTTCACCTCTGTCTGCTCAGTTGATACTCTTGACGACTGGCTTCAGCAGAAATCAGCTATGCAGTCTCTGATACAGCACCAGCTTAGCCGTGCCAAGAAACGGATGTAGACTTAAGCTGACAAGAACCGCACTGAACGTTCATTCAGCGTGGGTACATGGGTTTACATCAAGTTGCAACCCTATGTCTAGAGTTCCGTCGCAGCATGAGCCAATCAAAAGCTTGCTTATCGCTTCTTCGGCCCTTTCCTGATCACTGACAAAATTGGAACCGTGGCTTACAAGCTGAAGCTACCGGATTCATCTTCCATCCATCCAGTGTTTCATGTTTCTCAATTGAAGGTGGCGGTACCGGTAACCCATACTGCTCAACCATTACCCTCTTTACTCGATGGTTTGCAGGTTCCTGAGCGCGTGCTATAGGAACGCGTCGCCAAGGTCGGTGCCGATGTCCGTCTTGAAGCTCTCATCCAGTGGTCAGGCATGCCATCTTCTCTGGCCACCTGGGAAGATATGGAGACTCTGCGCCAGCGCTTTCCACGAGCACCTGCTTGGGGGCAAGCAGGCTCTTATCGGGGAGGGGATGTCAGCACCCGTACCACTACATCAGCAACCCAGGAGGATAACGGGAACGACGACGGCCAACCTAATGTTCACGGCGACATTCAAGCCGAGCATGGGCCGCGTCGAGGAGGGCGTGACCGCAGGCCCAACATACAAGTCCATGGGCCGGAATGGAAGTGACCGACCATCACCTGGCGAGAGTGCCATGTCATCTTAGTATATGTAATCGGAGAGAGAGAGGGGGAGGATAACAATGATGATGAACAACTTGTAAAAGAAGCACTCCGCTGCTATTCGATTCAGAACTCAACCTTCCCCAATTATGTGCCTGTTCTTCCTCTGATTCTTACCGGATTGATTGCCAATCCCCAACTCCTACCACTCTGCTTACACAATTTTCTCACTTCTGCCTTTTGTCAAGGAGTCCTTGTACACGTATCAAGGATAACTAGGCCAGGCACCAGCTTCTTGATGGTTTCTTCAATCACTCAATCAAAGAATTGCTCTACACGCTTGTTGCGCGTCATTTTGGTAATCATGGCCTGTTCGGCTGGTATTAAAGCTGGCTGAAGTTGTTTTGTTGTGAGAGAAAAATACTATAGATTCTAGCTGATAAGCCGGCTGATAAATTCAAGCGAACAAAGTTAAAGAAAAACACCTGCAAAAACGGACACCTGTCCGAAACTAATGCCAGGCCAGGCCACCGAGTTATCTGAAAATTTAACCGCGCCCCTTCTACGGGGTGGTATAGAGAATGGAGCCAGAGTGATCTGGTAAATCTTATCGCAGTGCTGCAGACTGCACTGTAGATGCCTGCCATGATAGGTTACGCGGATTCTCAGTTGACCAGAATTAGATCACCCTCGTTAAGCATGCATTTGTGCAGACTTGTTGGTAGCACAGCGTTCATTTTCTTAGTGTAACCGTTCAGTTCACGGTGGCATAAATAACCATGTAAAATCATCATGCGTAGGTAGATAGAGATCCGAACAAGACCAGATTATTGTAGATGCCATGATAAGTTACGCGGTTTCTCGGTTGACCAGAATTAGATCAGATCACCCACGTTAAGCTTACATGTGTGCAAACTTCTTGGTAGCACAGCATTCCGGTTTTTATACGGTAACCATTCAGTTCACGGTCCCATAAATATAAGCATGTAAAATCATCATGCGTAGGTAGATGGAGATCCGAACAAGACCAGATCATTACCGTCAACCCGCAGAGGTACTGCATGTTTGCTGCCGAATAACACAACCGGGCCGACAACGTTGTGCAGACAAGTATGGAGTAACACATGGTTTATTACAATTAGCATTTGCAGGTTTAATTATTTACGCTAGCTCTCACCAAATCGTTGGGCCGCAATGTGCGCTCTATCCTTTTGTTAGTTCCCAAAATCCATCCACTCAAAGTGTGGCACAAACATACCGGATCGTCATCTTTATGAGTAGGCATAAGCAGTTTGTTTAGTTTAAAAATATGGCCTAGCAAAAGGAGTAAGAGAGTTCCTTGCCAGGGAAAGAACACAAGATCAGTGCTACCTTAGCAATTCTGAATGTCTGCTTGCAGTTAAATATAGTGCTGTGTTCTGCCTAATATATACTTCCAAATTTAGATTTTTATTAACTCAGTTGTTTGTCATTTGGTGAGCTAATTCGTTAAGTTTGCTCATCTCTCACATTTATCATATATATGTCACTGCCACAGCTGAATGCACTAGCTCCTTCCAAGTTCCAATCAAATATGGTGTTGCCAAAAGTTACAGTTTCCGGCTACTAATGCCATGACCATGAAGCAAGGGATCGTTCAAGACCAGGAATTTTAAGTGCAGTAGAAAACTGCCGCCGCGCATATAGCTGGCACCACATTTGGTGACGCCTGAGGGTGACATATAACATCCGACGAAGAATTTCTGTCATGTCCTGCTCCTGCATACAATAGACGCATCGATCGAGTTCCTTGTTTCAGTACGTAACATCCTTCTATGTAGGCAGTAGGCTGTAAATGATTATTGCTCTCCCGGGCACCACCACCACCACCACCACCAGCAAGAGATGGCTCGAGCTGATGCATGGTTTCTCCAATCAGATAACGAAAACAATTGCAGATTAACCGATTGACCGCACACGCCTTAAACTAATCTCCAGCTAACGCTATCATGCTAGCATGATATACACCACTCTAGCTATATTAGCAGTAGTGCATCTTTTAGTATAGCTAGCTAGAGTACTAGCTAGCTCCCCTCTACTCTACTACCGACCGACCTGCAAACCCTGAGTGCATACAACGTACACCACATGCGTCAATGGCGAAACAGTACGCTGCTGCTGCTAATGCACTTGTTTAGGCGCCAAATGGACCACCCCAGCACCATCGACTCCATCTTGTGGCAGTCAAATTTACCGCAATCAAAAACACGTATGTAGTCGGTCGCGCAATTCGCAAGCTTTCAACCACATCGTGCGTGCCTCCAATGGCGGTCCATGGCCACCGCCCCTAGAGCTCGCAATGCAATCGATCGGGTTAATCCACCTCTTCCTAAATATATAAAAGTAGCACTAGTATATGTGTATATATATAAAAAGGGCCACCTAGTGAGAGTAACTTTGCCGAGAGAGCGAGCTCCCTCTAGTGTAGATAGTGGTGGCGCTATCAAGCTAAGATTGCTCACACATCCGTGCAGCACTCGCTCGCATCAGCAGCAGCAGCAGCAGCAATCTTTGACCACGAGAGTGCACGCATGGAGCTCGCCCAATCACGCCGGCCGCGAGCTGAGGTCCATGTCTGGCCATCGACTTCTCGTAGACGACCGGTGCTTCATGGAACTGTTTGGTTGGTTTCTGATAAGTCCGATTGGTGCTGATTTGTTGAGAAAGAAAACACTGTACCATGGCTAATAAGCCCTGGTTGAAATCAACAAGCGAATAGACCGAACGAAGCATCAATAATGCAGTGAGAAGGAAGATCGATCTGGGTCCAACTTGTCCGATCCGATGCATGCATGCCTCGAAAGCGATCGGGGGCAGGCAAACACGCGTAGGGGTGTAGTCAGCTACACATACACATCAAGAAACGTGACGCAGCGGCAACGGCGGCGGCGGCAGCGACATACACAGCATGCACGCGCCGGGCGGCCGGGGGTATACGTACCACCTAGCTAGCAGAAACGATCAAACAGGCACTAGTGACTGATGCATAGCTTGAATATTAATTCCTAGCGATCGGGCCGGCGACGACCATTCCAAATGGGAGGGACTTCATCGTCTCGTCTTCTCGGTGCCGGTCCCCTTTAGTTCTTCTTTCGGCAATCTTTCTTCTCGTCGTGGCCGTGCATGCCCGCGCGCTCGTGCACCAGCGCACGCACGCTCGGCCACATTGCGCTGAAAAGCAAGGGGGCCGGCCGTGGTCCGTGGCCACCGGTGGCGCGCTCGGTCGGTCGGTCGCCGCCATTAGAAAAACCGGGACGCCCTTCGGCGCGGATGGCCACGAGCAGCCACATAACAAGCCTCTGATGAGGCCTCCACTACCACTCCCACCACCACCGTCCTCCTCCTGCTCCTCCTCCTGTTCTCTGTTCCCGCGCACGGCGCCCGTGCTAGCTCTCGGCCTCTCGCTCGCGCTACCTATAAATCCGTGCGGTCGCACTCGCCACCGTCTCCAACCCAACCACTGCAGCCGACTGCCTCGCCTCACCTCCAGCACCAGCAGTCTAGCTAGCTAGCTAGCTCGTCTCCTAGAGCTTGCTAGATCCCCGCGACAGCGACCGCGCACGCCGTAGCACACTCTGCTGCCCTGTCTAGCCCCGCGTGTATATAAGCACGCCTAGCAACCCAAGCAAGATTCACCATTCCGGCCGCTCACTGCAATTGCAATCTCACTCTCATTCTCACCTATTAGCGGCCAAGATCCAGACTTTATTTCCTCAGCTACTTAATTTGATCGGCTCCTGCAATGGAGTTCACCGCCAGGACGGCCATTGCTCTGCTTCTTTCGCTCGCCGTCTCCTTGAGCTTCCTCTGCGGCGGCGTCCAGGGCGGCCGCCACTACCACCACCACACCAGGCACACGGGGCACAACTCCGCGCACCCGCCGTCCGCCCACGCTCCGGGCCCGGCGAGCGGGAGGCGGCACGCGCCTTCGCCGCACGCGCGGCCCGTGTCTCCCCCGGCCCCACCGCCGTCGTCGTCGGGCTCGGGCGGCTACCCGACGCCTGGCACCGCCTCGCCGGAGCCAGCACCGGCCCCCGCGGCGGGCGCGGCTGGCAACGTGTACGACGTCGTCAAAGACTTTGGCGCCGTCGGGGACGGCGTGACGGACGACACCGACGCCATCAAGACCGCGTGGGACACGGCGTGCCAGGACGACGGACACAGCGTCGTGCTTGCCGCCGCCGGCTACTCGTTCCTCGTGCACAGCACCGTCTTCACCGGCCCGTGCCAGGGGAGCGTCACGATTCAGGTTGGTAGCCGCCGCCCGCCGCCGTGGATGGAGAAATTAAAAATGCGGACTTGATGATCTTGACTTGGCGCCACGTAGTACTACCGGTGGTACGGCATCGTTCAGACTTGCTGATCCCAATGGCCGGCGTTCTATCGTCTGTGTGTTCGTGCAGCTCGACGGGACGATCGTGGCGCCGAGCGACCCCGACAAGTGGCTGGGCAACAAGCGCAACTGGCTGCTGTTCTACCAGGCCCACGGCATGTCGCTGCAGGGCGCCGGCCTCATCGACGGCAAGGGCCAGAAGTGGTGGGAGCTCCCCTGCAAGTCTCAGAAGGCCATGGCGGATCAAGCGGCCACGGTGCATCCTGTGACAGCCCAGTGGTAAGTGGCCTAACTAACGACTTTAACCGCATTATAACGGCCACTTAGACCTGTCGTCAGTCAATGCAAGTACTAGCTAGTCCGATGGACTGACGACGTTGATCTCTCATGGTTAATTCATCAGGCGCTCAGGTTTTTCATGACCAACAACATGACGGTGCAAGGCCTCAAGGTGCAGAACAGCTCCGAGTTCCACATCCGGTTCGACAACTGCCACGGCGTGGTCGCCAGCGGCCTGTCAATCCGCTCCCCGGCGCTGAGCCCCAACACCGACGGCATCCACGTCGAGAACAGCACGGACGTCCTCATCACCAACACCGCCGTCTCCAACGGCGACGACTGCGTCTCCATCGGCGCCGGCACCCTCAACATGCACGTCGAGAACCTCACCTGCGGGCCCGGCGGCCACGGCATCAGCATCGGGAGCCTGGGCAAGCAGGGGTCGCGGGCGTGCGTGGCCAACGTCACCGTGCGCAACGCCGTGATCCGCCACTCGGACAACGGCGTCCGGATCAAGACGTGGCAGGGCGGCTCCGGCGCCGTCTCCGCCGTCTCCTTCGAGAACGTGCGCATGGACGCCGTGCGCAACCCCATCATCATCGACCAGTACTACTGCCTCTCCAAGAGCTGCGAGAACGCCACCTCCGCCGTCTTCGTCAACGGCGTCTCCTACGCCGGCATCCGGGGCACCTACGACGCGCGCACCCCGCCCATCCACTTCGGGTGCAGCGACGCCGTGCCGTGCACCAACATCACGCTCTCCGACGTCGAGCTGCTCCCCGCGTCCGGCGAGACCATCGACGACCCCTTCTGCTGGAACGTGTACGGCACTGCCGCCACGCCCACGGTGCCGCCGGTGTCGTGCCTCATGGAAGGCGTGCCCAGCAGGAACGATAACAGCAGCCTCAAATGCTACTAGATAGATAGCAGCTAGCTAGTGATCGATGGACGTCCTACACAGGGCCGAGCCGGCAAAATCCGAAGCCCTGTTCCAAACTCTAGAAACAGATCTACCTGCCTAGAAAATTAGAATTATATAATAATGTATATGTTATAATATATTATTCCTATATAGCAATGGATATATGAATAGTTTTTTTCCCGAAAGATCCGTTACCGGCTTTCAAGATATTTGAATAGTTATAGTTTACATGAAGGACTTTATCTCGGTCACTACTCACTTGTTGGCTTTCAATTTAAGACCACAAATTACCAAATTCATGGTCTCCTTGGAAGTTTTGGCCAACCAATGGAACATACTCCATTTTTAAATTCCACTGGAAAGTACTATATATATTACTAGCCACGTAAATGTTGCAGGCAGCGTTTGAACTCAGATTCTCCGAATAGCCAGTTAGCCAATCAAATTTTTAATTAACCAGTTAGCCAATCAATTATTTTAACCTGTTAGCCAATCAATTTTTTTTATAGGAGCCAATCAATTTTAACTCATCAACACACGGGAGAAATAGAACTGAATAGAGAAAAATCAATTAAAAATGGAGAGTTCGGAGTCGGAGATAAACCTCATCTTGGCAGGATGGCACTAGCACACCACGTAGGCAGCAGCAAGCCTTAACCCGCCGCTTGTCGGGCACTCCAGCGCCCAACCCCTTGGTGCGAACTGAGCGGCGCGGCACACCAGCGGGCAGCGGCGATCGATGGAGCCGACGGAGTCGTGATAGAAACGAGTAGACATTGCACGGACGGTGGATATATATATATATATATATATATATATATATATATATATATATATATATATATATATATATATATATATATATATATATATTAGCGACTTGGGCTATAACATAATTAGTGGGCATATAATGGTCTGAAGCGTTGGAAGTTAGGGGCCCCTAGAAATCTGAGGCCCTGTTCAGTCGCACCTCCTGCACGACCTTAGGCTCGGCCCTGGTCCTACACTACACATGCATCCGGCCTGCTGCTACTTGTTTATTAGAAGGAAGAAGAAGGCAAACCAACAGAGAAAAGTAATTAAGATTAGTGCAGATAAAAGGAGTTTAACGCGTGATTATACTTATGTATATATAGAAAAAAAGATGGAAAATGTAATAGTACTAGTAACAAGTGACTTGTGTGTGTGAGAATTATACATGCATATATAGTATCACCGGAATATATGCAGGATTTTCAACTTTGGTATTCGAAAATTTTTCAGTCACTCCCGAAATTACCAAAAATTTTGGAGACTTCAACAAGAAGTACGATTTTCTTAATTTTTTAGATCTAGAAAAAATATCGGCACGATTCATGACTATACATCTATTGAGTAGAGCAATAGAAAATATGAGTAGAGTTATATTTTTACAATAAAACACATGCATTAGTGTGATAAGAAATTTTGATTTTTTTTTCTTTTGTGCCACCACCCCTGAAATTACTGAAATTTCATAAAATTTTGGCAAAATTTCACCGAAATTTTGAACTATAAATATATATAGTATGCATAATGTGTTGGAGCCATGCAATGGACATATAGGTGGAATATATATTGGACACTTGCCTCACTCACATATGCATGGCTAGTGTGTGTTTTTACCGTGATGCATGGCTCAAGTTTCTGTAGCGACCTCTTGTCTGCATGCATGTTTCACCTGAAACACAATCTTAGCTTGAAATAGTGTTTTTGTTTTTCTCTGTTCACAGCTCACCGGCCTTGTACTACCTCCAAGTGCTTAGCAACAAGAAAAATAACGCATCAGTGACGTCTTCATAATGCAAATAATTAAAGGACAGAAATTACTCTGACTTTAAGTATTTTTGTACTCACATTAGAAACATGAGTTTTGGTGTGTGCTCATCCAAGCAACTCCACCACATTATATGGTGAAGCAGGTAGAAAATATATATATATATATATGGATATCATTATATCAAATTATGGCAAGCAACAGGTAGAGGTAATGGATACGTACATGATGATGAGTTCAAATAAAGTTGATTCAAAAGATTCGCATGTACTATAAAGCTGCCATTGAATGTGACGCAAAAAAAACAAACTCTCTCTCTCTCTCTCTCTCTCTCTCTCTCTCGGCAACTACAGTAAGTCTCAACAACGCACAACGGGATCGGAGAATAATGTCCCGACCCTCGACAGCTTGAAACGGTGGTGCAAGCAGTGACTAAACTGTTATTGAAGCACAGCCTTGTTTTTACTAGCATACAGCTAGCAGTGAAGGAGTAGCAATAGCAAATAAACAAAAAGGTGTGGACTCCATCAGATCGATCGTGGAGATGGGCCAAGAAAACCATTGCAAGCGCCGCACCTAACCAACCACGAAATATATACCTGCCCAACCAACAGCATATGCATGATCCGCTGTTTTCAGCAACAAAAAGTTGCAAAACAAAGTGAAGAACGCTTTAGTGTTCTTGTGGGCGCTTGGCAGAGAGACAGACAGAGATAGATCATAGTACATGCCGTGCGTACAGTTGAATTGAACAAATAATAAGACCCTAGATCTCAGCACGAGGAGAAACGGCACAGAGAGGCATGGTTGGCTTCATAATTGGCTGGGTTTTCCGGTTGGTAACCCTAGCGAAGTATAGGGTGTCGCACGATCGATCAGTCATCATCTCCGTCCAGTGCAATTAGGTAGCAGCAAAGAGGTATACGTGAAGGCTGGAGATGACTAAGAGTTGGCCACGGAACAGTTCCAGTACCAGAGAGATAAGGTTATACAGCAGTACTTACCACTCCAGTTCGATCGCAGCCGCCAGTGCGTGCTACACGTTAGCAAACCTACGAAAGAATGCAATTATAGGACGTGTTATGGTTTGTTAAGTTCGATCAATTATAGATAAAAATGTATCAATATTTATGATATTAAATAAATATCTGTCGGTGTTTCTAGTTATCATCAACGAGGAAATTTCTAGTATTGCGTGTCTGGCTCAGATGGTATGCTTTAGAGGACACGAGGTTTATACTGGTTCGGGTAGAATGTCCATACGTCCTGCTTCGTCGCTGCTGCTCATGTTACTAGCACTGAAAGTTTACAGTAGGGGTTACAAATGGGCGAGAGAGGGATATGTCTCAAGTCTCTGGTCGAAAAAGTGAATGGGTGCCGAGAGCTCGGTTGCTGCTCAGCCGTGTGCTTGTGTTGTGTTCTGGTCAGTTTGAGGTTTGATGGGTTCGTGATGATTCGATCGGGTCTGGCCTCAATCGATCGATTCCCTTCGTGGGACGCCCTACTTTCTCTTTTATAGGCCAAGGGAAAGCACGGGTTAAAGCGGAGGGAAATAGAAGAACGAGGGAGAGCCGAAGGCCTTCAGGATCGCCAGGTCCTTCTTATCCTTCATGCGGTCCCGTCGACCCTATAGATATCAACAGGGATGGTTTCACGTCACGGCCCTATCCGTCACTAGCGTCATGCGCAGGCGTCGTCTGCCGTTCATGGCGCCCCACTCTGTCCTGGCGGACGTCGTGGTGAACTAACGCGCCTGTCAGTGTTCATACGAGGGTTAGGCAGAACAGCACCGATACGCCCGACGCTGTTCCTGATGTGAATCCTTGGATATGGCCCGTCGTGGTCGTGGGTTAAATCGGGGCGTGCCGGTCTCCTCCCTGGTGTCAGAGCTTTGACCTAGGCCCATACACTTCGACCTGGAGTGGTTGGCGGCAGCATGGGTCTCCGCCGAGCAAGATGGAGCCCACGGCCTCGGGGTCGGACGGGGCGAAGCCCTCCTTCAGAGGCCGGGCGAGGCAGAGCGCAAACCCAAGGGTCGGGCGAGGCGGAGCCCGCAGCCTTGGGGTCAGGCGAGGTGGAGCCCTCCTCTAGAGGCTAGGCGAGGCGGAGCGCAAACCCAAGGGTCGGGCGAGGCGGAGCGCAAACCCAAGGGTTGGGCAAGGTGGAGCCCATAGCCTTGGGGTCGGGCAAGGCGGAGCCCTCCCCCAGAGGCCGGGCGAGGCGGAGCGTAAACCCAAGGGTAGGGCAAGGCGGAGCGTAAACCCAAGGGTCGGGCGAGGCGGAGCGCAAACCCAAGGGTCGGGCGAGGCGGAGTCCGCGACCTTGGGGTCGGACTAGGCGGAACCCTCCCCCAGAGGCCGGGCGAGGCGGAGCGCAAACCCAAGGGTAGGGCGAGGCGGAGCGCAAACCCAAGGGTCGAGCGAGGCGGAGCCCGTGGACTCAGGGTTGGGCAAGGCGGAGTCCTTCCCCCGAGGCTCCCCAGAGGTCGGTCGAGGCGAGCCCATGCGCCTGGGGGTCGGTTGGAGCCATAGTCGCGCTCTTGACTATTCAGATGAATTAATGTTGATGACCATTAGCCCTTCCTCTTCGGGTACCCTAGTATTGGTCCCCGACAGTAGTCACCGAGCCTGACGGAGGAGTAGAATACTCCTTCGGAGGTTTTTCAAACGGGAGGACTCTGAGGGCCTTGGCCTTCTTTTGTTGCCCATGGCGTGACTTGGGGACAGTGATTCCCTTTGGTCGAGATCGGACCCCTCGGGGGTATAAGCCGTGAGATCTGGTAGGTCGGAAAAGGTTTTTCCTGATTTTGACCCCTATGGGGGTCTGTCATTCTACGACCAAGTGTTCGTCGCTTTGTGCGAGTCCAACTTTCCTCGAGCCCCCACCCATAGCAGGGGTTCGGTCGAGGAAAGGTTCGTCTTCGTGATTATCTTCCCTCAAGCGTTTTTTCCGATAAAAACGGAGGGGCCGAGCCGTGTCATAATTTTCCTCTACAGATGAACCATGATGCTCGTTGAGCCATTAATGGGCTAGTCCGAGTGGGTCCCCGACATCCCGTTCGTGGGGATCTAGCTTGGGTCAACTAGTGACCGGCTCCAGATTCTCAGCGGTCAATCCATATAGTTCTCGGGTTCGTTCGATCGGTCCCGAGGGCTCTCTGCCTTTCTTTGAGGAAAAACAATGGATCAAATCCGGCCGAGAC